TGATATTGAGATCAGGCTTTGTCATTTCATAATGGAGTTGACCTTAGAAAAATGACTTCACATCCCTGGTCCTTAGTGCCTATTTCTTTCTTTTATAAAATTAAAATAATAATACAATTCTCATCATTTGCAGCAACCTGGATGGAATTGGAGAACATCATGCTGAGTGAAATAAGCCAGTCAATGAAAGAGAAACTCCACATGACCTCACTCATTTATGAATAATAAAGAACATTATAAACGGATGAACCAAAAGATAGATATAGAGACAGTAAAGCAACAAGCAGACTGTCAAATTATAGCAGGGAGGGTAGGGAGATCTGGGGGAGATAATAGATCAACCGAAAGACTTGTATACATGCATATAAGTACAACCAATGGACACAAAACTCTGGGAAGGGAGGATATGTATGGGGGGGGGGCATGTTAAAATATGTACACAGATAATAATTTAATAAAAAATGTAAAAAAATAATAAAATAAAATAATAATACACACCTCACAGGATGGTAAGAAGGATTAAACAATACCATTGGTCAATCCCAAGGCAGGAAGAAGACCCATCATGACTCTGGTAATTCAATGTCCTTTGAGTTTTATGGCCAATTCTTATTTGGGATGAAAAAGATTATGCTCATTTTTTGTTTGTTTCTGGCTTCTTGAGCTCACTTTTCTTGGTTCATATTGACATGGTTTTCAGGGTCACTCTTCTACTGACGAGCCTCTCAGACACCTATGGCTATCTGAGTTGTGGTTGTTTCCCGGCGGACTTTACATCAGGTGTGTGGCATATGCCCTGCATGTAGGATGGGCTGGGAGGTATATGCTGAGTAAATAGACTTACTGAAGATTTTTGCCCTTTGAGTGAGTTGGAAAGGCAAACAACTGAAGAAAGAAAGAAATGTAGAACTTATTAGTAAGCCATACCATAACATCTACTAAGAACCAGTATAGGGAAGGCTGGTTGATTGTAAACTCAGAGAGTGCCACTGCAGTCACAGGAGTGTGTCTCTCCTGTGACTCCAACGACCCACAGTAACAGTCATGCCTTAGGGTGGGCAAATCAACAAGGAGGCCACCCCCTGTCAAGGTATAAACATCCAATGGCTAAGAGCACTTTTGTTCTTTGAAAAATAATAAAAGCTTCCCTGCCCTCTCACCAACAGACAACCTGATACCAGAGCCAAGAGGCTCCTCGGATTATCAGCATTCCTTTAATGAGGTGAGGATCTCTTGGTGGTAAACTCAACAGCTGAGTAACAGGATGGCAGTACAACAGGTCGAGAATCAAGGCAGTGAGGTCAAAGCACTGAGGCAACATTGTGACATTAACCTTTTTAAAAATTTATGGTTGACACTATTACAGATGTCTCCTATTTCCCCCTTTTTGATCTTTGCTAATTTAAATAGGTACAAAATGGTAATTTAATGAGCATTTTTGAATTATAAATGACGTGAACACCTAAACCATGATTAAAGGCCATCTGAAAAAAAGCAACAGCTAACATTTGTTTAGTGTTTCCTGCCAGACTTATTTTAAATGATTTATGGATATCAACTTCTTTAATACCTAAACAGATCGATGACCTGGGTGCTACTGCCACTTCCATTTTTCACATGCAGAAACCATAGCATAGAGAGGTCAAGTCACCAGGCCATGTTCCTACAGCTAGTACATGGAAGAACCAGAATTTGAATCCATGCAGGCTGGCTCCAGAGTTCCTGGCCTTAACCACTCTGCTCTGCTGCCTTAAAATTCTGTATAATGGGTTCTAGTAGCAGATAGATATTAAAGCAAGTGTCCTGCACTAGAATGCAGATAAAGGAACCTGGGAAAGGGGGGGGGGGAGGGTAAGTGAAGAGAATTATTTTCATATTGATTGGTCTTTAATGAACTGAAGACCTGGGACAAGAACAAAGCAGAATAATAATGTTAAAAACCCCTTAAAATCAAATTAAAGATCCTCAAGGTATAAAATCCCATCCAGAGACAGAGAAGCATCGATCAGACCATCAAACCTCAGAGAGAAGGAAAGGAAGGGTGCGGGCAAAGGGGAGAGATCAACCAAAGGACCTGTATGCATCCATATAAGCATAACCAATAGACACAGACATTGGGGGGGTAAGGACATGAGCTGGGGATGGGGGACAGATAAGGGGTATAAGGACACATATATAATACCTTAATCAATAAAGAAAATAAAGTCATGAACTATGACACTAGCTGCAATGAAAACACAGGCCTGTCCATTAAAAAAAAAAAATCCCATGGAAGAGAAAAGAAAATGGTGATTTTTCCTCTATTTTAAAGCCTCTCAAGATAGACTTTTGAAGTCAGAGATCCCTCAGGAGTCCTTCCTCTAACTCTGATCTTTACCAGAAGCAAATTTCTTTCTGGTGGACACACAGTGGGTACTGACTGTGGACAGCACGTGTATCTTCAGAATCTCCCCCTGCAATAGATAAGGTGGCTGCAGGTTAGACCCAAGCCCTGTGGGCTGCTCCAACTCCACTGCTTTTGCTCTCACTCAGAGATGCATCAGAATTGCCCTAACATTTGCCACGGCATTGAATGATGCTATTCTGTACCCAGTGGCTCATCGCCCCCTGAAGATAGATGGCAGCTCAAAGGACTTTCCCCCTGAAGAAAGAAGGCAGAGGTGGCCCCTGTGGATGAAGGAGGGCTGCGGGACTACCTTTCTCTTGGCTCTTCATTGCCAGCACCTCCCTTCATGTTACCTGGTTCATATGTTGTTCTCAGGGACCCGTTTTCACAGAAGAGTGAACAGGAGCCGTCTACGGTGTCCAGGGTGGGATTCTCCTCACCTACACAGCTGAGTGTATCTCAAACGCCTGCCTCATGCTGTCTACTTATCGAGGAGCAAGAAGCATCAATGCCACTAAGCAACACAGACCTTACAGAGCCCACATGGGGGGAAGATGGACACAAAATCAGCTTTAGAGAGGGGTATCATCCAGGGATGCAAACTTCAGCTCTGATGCCTAGGAGTGTGTTTTGAGATGGAAGGAACCATGATGTTCATCAACGGGACAAAATCTGCTGGGGATAGGGTCAAAAGATGGAGCCTATTTAGCAAATCAAAGGAAACCATTTTAATGGCCCAATTCTCTGGATTACAGTGATGCTATGATGAGACGGAAGAGAGAAACAAAAAGGTGTTTGAAGATGAACATATGCAGATTATGCTTGGAGGCCTCTGAAGGACAACCTGGCTGGGAGAAGTCTTCTAAGGATTGCATCAGCAAAGAATTATTCATCGATGACCTCAGGGTAGCTGGGAGAGGCCAGTGACCCAGAGAAGTTTTCCTCTGGGGAAGAATTCCAGTTCTCTTTATTTTATTTCTTCTTGAGAGAATTCTAAGAACCTAGGTCTCACCCATCCTCACACTCACTGCCTCCCATTTGGGTCCCATGAGGATTTTTGTTCCTGAACTTAGCTCTTTTTATACTCTTTTAGGGTCTTATCCCATTGGATCTTCCTTAGTCTTTAGGTCCCTCTACTTTTCCTCAGCCACTTTGGAGGGGGAATGACTGGCCCCACAGAAGTTGGTCGCAATGGCCCTGATGAAACTCTTTGGGATCCGAGATATGCTACTGATTCTCATATTTAAGCATAATTTTTTTCTATGTGAATTTTATTGTCCTCCCTGCCTCAGTATCTCTGTGCCTGAACACAAGGACCCTCAATAACATTCTTTTTCACTCCAACTTCCTGTCCAATAACAAAGCCTTGTACACTTTCCTGAGCAATGACCTGGGAAGCAGTACAGGTTGTTCCCCCTGGAGGTTGTGGTAAAGTGGAGAGAGAATGGGCTCTACAGATATGAGATGGAATCTAGCCCTTGCCAGCTTATCAGCTCTGTGAATCAGAAAATGAATTTTATTCTAGTTTCCTCATCTGCACATCCAGGCTAAAAACAGTCACCTCACAGGTGGGAAGGACTCAATAGGAAAGAATACAGTAGCATAGCTAGCTTAGTTGTATTCTCTATAAATGTTAGTTCTGGAACTTTTGTCTCAACATCCTTTGGGCTTTGTGGCTCAATTTTCATTTTCTGGATTAAATAAGATTGTTGTTGTTTTTGTTAGTAGTTTCTCTCTAGACACACCTGTGGTCAGGATGATGAATTTTCTATCTTTCACTAATTCTCACTGATGTATGGTTCTCATGTAAGTTTGTTTAAGAACCCATGATTTTAGTGACACTGTTTTCTCCTGAAGAACAGGAACCACTGTGTGTCCTGGACCCAGCACACCACCTGAGTTATGGGAGTGTTCAGGAAACATGCTGAACAAGCGAATGAACGAATGAATGAATGCTGATGTGGTATAGTCAACCAAAACTGAATTAGCAGCAACGTTTTGTAGTGCATTGTAGTCCTTTGTTGCTCCTCCAGGGGAGTATGCAATTTAAAAGAGAAAAGAAAAAAGAAGAAATGGGAACCACTCAATATTCAAACATCAGTAGACTTGCTAGTTTTATAAAGTGGCATTTCTCTTGAAAGAAAAGCTTGGTTGAGTCCAACAGATGGGAGAGACACTGGATCTTATAGATTTGCTGTCTCTTTTGCTACACAAATCATTGACTGAAAGATTTGATCCTTCAGTGTGGCTGCATCCAAAGGGAGACTGTCCAGCCCAGAGTGAGGACATCTGAGGCTGCATTAACTGTTGGTGGTAGTTGAGTAGGAATATAAAACTCTGATCTTCCATGAATGACAATCTGATATCAAAGAGGCACCCCAGATCATCAGCATTTTTTTAATGAGGTGAGGAACTCGTGGTGGTAAACTCAACAGCTGAGTAACAGGATGGCGGTACAACAACAGGTCGAGAATTAAGGCAGTGAGGTCAAAGCACTGAGCCAACACCCACCTGGAATACAGTATAAAAGGCCCAGGAAGGAAGGGGGGTTCTCAGACTCGTGTCTTGGCCTTTCCAGCTGCTCTGAATCTCCTGTTGTAGCATCATCCTCACCATGACTTCCTTCTACATGACCTCAAGCCAACCTCTGGGCAGCACCCAGAACCCTGGAGAAAGAAGTGTCTGCCCCTCCTCCATTGATGTTGGGTACCACCCTGGCTTAGAGGAAAAGGTTGCCTGTCAGGGCCTCCTGGCCAGCCTGGCACATGTCAACCGAGCTCGAGTGGGGACCACCCCTCTGGGCCGACCCAACCTCTGCCTGCCCAACAGCTGCCACAACGCTTGCCCCTTGCCGGGAACCCGCAACATTCCTGCCAACGTCGGAAGCTGTGGGGCCTATGGTGAAGGCACCCTGAACGGCCATGAGAAGGTGACCATGCAGTTCCTGAATGACCGCCTGGCCAACTACCTGCAGAAGGTGCGGCAGCTGGAGCAGGAGAACGCGGATCTGGAGACCAAGATCCGGGAGTGGAGCAAATGCCATGAGACCACCATGTGCCCTAACTACCAGAGCTACTTCCAGACCATTGAGGAGCTCCAGCAGAAGGTGGGGTCTGGAGTAGCCTGGGGTGTGTTGGGTTTGAGGGAGGAAGAGGGCATGGCAGGCAAAACCACTGAAGGCTCAAAGGGATTAGGCTTCTTGGGTTTCCTTGAATAGGAGTGTAGACACCACATGTAGGGCTGGAGCCAAGTGTGATGTTAGTGTGTGATTGGTCTTTCTGTTTTTTTTTTTTTAGATCCTGTGCAGCAAAGCTGAGAATGCCAGGCTGGTTAGCCAAATTGACAATGCCAAACTGGCTGCTGATGACTTTAGGATCAAGTAAGTAAGGCCATATGGCTAAGAGTGACTCTTCTGTTTTATTTCTAAGTGGCCACCAGGGTACTTGGTCCACAGTAGGTGTTCAAAATAGTTGCTGTTGAGAATAATGAATGAATTAATGAATAAATATCCTCTTCCTTCCTCTCCAAACCATAATTTAACTTGTTACTAGAAATGGTCATTATGTGGGGTGAAAGAACAAAAAACATTAAAATAAGAAAGGAGGTAGGGTCTAGATTGGATAGATTCTATGTCATATTCTCCCCATATCTAGAAGAAAAGAGGGTTTTGTGTTATAACCTGAAGCAAAATCAAGTCATTCTAAGAATAAACTTTCAGTGCATAGGTCATAGACAGATTCACTGACCCTTGGCCTAATCCATCAGTGGGAATACTTGTCATTGTAGCTTCTGTATTAAGAGTTGCAATGGAATGAATGAGAAAAACAATGAGAAATAATTAATCCAGTGGGTGAAGTAGCAAAATGTAGGTCCAGAAGGCTTATATTTAAGCCATTATTTTTCCTGTGGCAGAATGAATACTGCATTTGAAGTTTGAATACTTAGGTTGAGTCCACTATTTACTATTAATCAAAGTATATAATCCTAGACATCTTCTATTCTTTCTGAGACTCAGTTTCCATCTAGTCAATGACCATGGGCTCTGTAGCTAGAGAGTCTAACACCCCATTTGGTGAGCAAATGGGGATTCAAGGTGGGAACCAGGGTCAGCTGAAAGAGAGTCTCCTTGACATCTTGTTGACCTTGCATCTCCTGTGATGGAAGGCATGAGAGTGAGCACTCCCTGCGCCTGCTGGTGGAGGCAGACATGTGTGGGATGCACAAGCTCCTGGATGACCTGAGCCTGGCCAAGGCCGACCTGGAGGCCCAGCAGGAGTCCCTGAAGGAGGAGCAGCTCTGCCTCAAGAGCAACCACGAGAAGGTTTGGCCCTGTTGCTGCAGACTCATGGTGGTAGTGGTGGTGGGTGGTGGGCAGGAAAGGGGGCACCTCCCTCTTGTGTCTCAAGGATTGGAACCTGGATTCAGTGGCATCAAGATAATGGGCTGATCAGGGTCTGAGTTAAACTGACCCTGTGGGATGTGGCAGATGGAAGCTTCTTTTCTAAAGACTTGACTCATGAGTTTAGGGAGGTCTCCAGATGGGATCTTCCCATTGGACCCGGCAAGAAGAGCGATTCAGGTACTATCTGCGCTGTCCAAAGCCCTTTTCTCACTTGGGGTTCTTCTGGCCCTGCAGGAAGTGAACATTCTAAAGTGCCAGCTGGGAGACAGGCTCCGGATTGAGCTGGACACGGAGCCCACCGTGGACCTGAGCAGGGTGCTGGAGGAGATGCGGTGCCAGTACGAGACCATGGTGGAGACCAACCGGCGTGATGTGGAGCAGTGGTTCGAAGCTCAGGTGAGGCGGTGCTGCGTAGCCTGGGGTAGGGGGAACCTGGCTGCCATCTGGGCAGGCGCTGATCATGTCTCTGTGCACTGCTTCAGTCTGAGGGCATCAGCCTGCAGGCCTCGTCCTGCTCTGAGGAGCTGCAGTGCTGCCAGTCGGAGATCCTGGAGCTGAGATGCACGGTGAACGCCCTGGAGGTGGAGCGCCAAGCCCAGCACCACCTGGTATGGGTCCTTCTGCGCCCTCACGGCACTGCCAATGCCACTGCCACAGCCTGGTCACAGCATAGCTGAGAAGTCTCCCTACTCAGTTCTATACACTGAGTTTGAGCTTGAGCTGGGTTCCTCTCTCCTGGGTGGAGAAGGCTTGCTTTTAAGGCTAGTTTGACCCAGGAAAAAAAAATGGTTCCTGTTACAAGTGAACTCCACTTCCTTCAGAATGAGGTGTGGAGGTGCAGGCACTCATTCCACAAGGTTTTGTGGGGTGTCTCTTTCATGTCATGTATTGGAGGCATTAGGGGAAACATGATACAGTTCAAGTTAGATGTGTGTGTGTGTGTGTGTGTGTGTGTGTGTGTGTGCGCGCGCGCGCGCGCGTGCATGCAAAAAGTCATGGTCATATTGATGGTAATTTCTTCAGAGCTCTAGAAATGCCCTGTGACTTCTTGGAATTTGCCACCTGCCTGATGAATTCAGCAAATTAAGACTGCTGAATGCTTCATCCCCTGGGACTTTCCCCCCATTGTTTCCATTATAGAAAGACTGTCTGCAGAACTCCCTGTGTGAGGCCGAGGCCCGCTTCGGCACCGAGCTGGCCCAGATGCAGTGCCTGATCAGCACCGTGGAGGAGCAGCTGGCCGAGATCCGGGCTGACCTGGAGCGGCAGAACCAGGAGTACCAGGTGCTGCTGGACGTCAAGGCCCGGCTGGAGTGTGAGATCGCCACGTACCGGAACCTTCTGGAGAGCGAGGACTGCAAGTACGTGTCATCTAGGCAATTCCTGGCCAGGCCACATACCTGACTGTCAGATTCCGCTGAGATAACTCACATACTGGTGAAAGAGATCTCATCCTAAAGAATCCGCCTCCCTTAGTGACATTTACCATTGCTGGTGTGCACAGATTGTGCTGTTGATAGAATGGATCACAAACAGTAGCCAGGTCCCTAAGCAGAGCCCCAGGGACACCTGGATATGGAAAGATACAGCTGAGTGTAGACGTGGGTCTGACGGAAGAAGTTCTGTTGGGTTGTGTGATTTGTGTGTAGGGAGGGCAAACCCTCCCTACATGGTCTGATCTTTTCTGTCTCCAGCACTGAGATATCTTTTTATTTCCCATGTCTAACTCTCCCTTCTCTCTCTCCCTGCAGACTTCCCTGCAATCCCTGCTCTACACCGGCCTCCTGTACCCTTCGTCCAAGCTGTCCCCCGCCAGCCTGTGGATCTTCATGAGAACCGACCGAGAAGGTCTGAATTCCAATGCAGGAGGTCACGGCCATCTGTCCTGGGGCTAGGATCGCCCTCACCTTGCTTAGTCTTCCTCTAGAAAATACCAAACCCACTGGAGGCATTGTCACCAAATCAAAGAGCAGCAGACAACTTCTAAGTAGTGGCTTCCTATTGGTGCCTTAGGCTGACAACATTGCATTCTCTTCCACTGGAACTATTGTCCCCCTCCCCCCCCCCCATTCTCTATTCTAAGATTTTCATTCTACTCCAGTGCTTCAGAATCTTCTAAAAATGTAATTGGGTTCCTGTATTAAAAGGTCAATAAACATCCTTCCTGTATCATATGGTCATGTGGTCTCTTTCCTGGGTTTGGCAGTATATGTGGTGTGCTGGAGAGTCCGGGCCCTCAAGCCCTTGGGTGGTCACTGGCCCTGACGTGTCGCTTCCAGGACCTCTCTGGGCCACTGGGGTCTGAGCCTCGGGAAGAAGGTCCTTGGCTGACACTGGACATGTCTCTACCTTGCCCGTAGATCCCTCCAGATTGGTGAAAGGAAGCAGCATTGCTTGCCAAGTTTGAATTCCTTCAGAACAGCTCAGAACTAACATGTCCCTACTGTGCTTTTTGGCATCTTCGGCCCCTTGGTATTTTGAACCAGAGCAAAATTGCACAAATTCGAGTTCCAACTCAGTCAAAGGGAGGTCATGTTGAGAACTGCCCTGGCCAAGTTGCCAAGTTTTTCTCTCATTCGAACTGGCCCCTTCATGGAAGCATGGAATTTCCTCCTGCTGTCAGACACAGAGGCCCAGCTTGGGCCCTGGGGACAGTTGTCTGGGTCCTGGCCCGCTTCTGGGACGTGGTTTTCTCTAGAGAGATGCTGCCACCGATATGCTTGTCTCCTCTGCTGCCACCTTTCACGTCCTGGAGTGGGGCCTGTGGTTGCCACAAGTGCTCCGAATGCCTGCCGGCCTCCTAGCTGGGGCTCTGATACAGGCCCAGGTGGTCCACAGCCAGGCCTGGTGGGAGAGCATTCGGGCAGCAGCAGTGGAGAGGCTGTTCCCCTTCCATGCTGAGAAGTTAATTTCATTTTTGTCAGGCACCGAGTGTGCCCAGATCTCAGCTCACCAATGTAGCCTCGTCCAAAGACCAATGCAAAGTTGGTCCTTCTTCATGGCAGCATAGTCTGGTGGCTAGAGAACATGTTCCAGATTCTGGCAGACCTGGGCTCCAATCCCACCTCCGCAACACCAGCTGAATGAAGTTGGCCAGGTCACTATACTCTCTTGAGACCTATTCGTAAAATTAGAATAATGTACTTCCCTCTCACCACTGTGAAGGGATAATCCAGGAAATGTTTCCAGCATCTACTAGGAGAAGGTACTCAATGAATACTGGTTTTGGGGGCTTCCCGGGAACCAGCAGGGACAATCTTTTCTTCATTGATAGAAAGAGGAGGTAATGGGGTGGTAGCAGACCTGTCAGCAGCACCAGGAGCCACATCTTCCCTTGCTGGTTTCCAAAAGATTTATCCATACTCCCATCCACTTATAACAATCATGAAAACATCGACAGTTATTGGAGTTCAATTTCCAACGCCAAGTGACCTAACAAAAATTTTTAAGAAGCATTCTTTGGGCTGTCAGAGGACAAGAATTCCATTGGGCTCTTTTGGGCTTCCTTCTATTAAGTGACCCCCAAGAATCGTATGTTTTAAACAGTGATCAGAATTACTTCCTGTATGAGGACCATGGACATTCAGTCGGTCTCCCATTCCCTGGTCAGATCACACCCTGAATGCACTCTAATTGTGGGACCCCCATGGCTACTAGGCCTGCAGGAAAGACTACTCAGACCTGAAAGGGACTGCAGGTTAGGGAGGATGGCTGGTCCTGGATACTTGGACAAAGGTCTTGCTCAGTCATTACTGCAGCCTGAGGGCTCAGAGCTCCCTCTGGTACCAAATCCAAGCACTCCTCTTCCTCGGGATGATTCTCTGTCTGCATGTCATCTTCCCCTCTGTAACCTGGTTGCATAATGATCCCCTCACTGATTGGCCTTGAATGTGTATCTGCTTTTGCTTTGGTCACAATAATTTCAGCCAGATTGATTATTTTCCTCCCCCTGAAACTCTGGCTGCCTTGGCATGAGACCAGAGCCAGTTTAGAGCCACCTACCACTAATCTCACTAATCTTCAGTCAACCAGCCCTGCACTTCTGATGTGCTGGTTGGGAATATTTCTTTCCAGTGGGGTCTCTTCAGGCGTTTCCACCCACCATCTTTTTTCCAACTCCAAATGCCATTTTCTCAAGTCCAGTGGGAAGGAGGTGGTGGCTGGCCATGGATCAAAGAGCTTTGGGAAGGGGTCCACACTTCTGAGCCCACTACCCACACCAGAAAGCCAAGAAAATCAAGGTGGAATTCTGTGTTCTCCGGAACAAGAGCATTTGAAATGTAGATACTAGGTTTTCTGTGGTCCACCCTGTGTGACCCAAGGTTCTGCCTCATCCTCTACCCATATTCCTTTGCTCTTCCCAAGAACAGAATCAATGTGTCCCTTCTCATGACCACTTACAATCACTTCCACAAGCACATCTTGTTAAATCATTTTTGTCTTTTTTCATCAATTCAGTGTTTCCCGACCTTTTCCTCATCCATGGCTTTTCATTTAATGAATATATATTTTTTCAAAACATCACCTCATTTAATGTTCTTTTTACTTTCAAAAATATAAATACCAAACTCATTTTATGACTAAAAGACAGCTCATTTAGAATCCAGGTTTTGCTTGCTTTCAGACAACACTCCGTCCATCCAAAATATCTCCCCCGCCACTATTTTAGAGATTCCAAATGCCATCCCCTCTAGGGTCATTCTCCCATTGAGAAGCAGGGCTCGTGGTCAGGTTTGAGCTTTGGGCTGCCACATCCTCCATAACTGCCTTCAAGCATAAGAAACCTTAGCAGCTCAGGAGGGGCTTCTCAGTAGGTCCAAACAATCCAGGCTCCAGAGACTTATCTCTGACCTCCTGGTGGCCAGTCTCACTCACTACATGTCATACTCTCCACACTTAATTCCACTTCTCTCCCTTTAGCCAGCTCTTTGCCTTGACTTCCCAGCTTCCTTTCCATCGCATTATACTCCTAAGGTGACCTCAAGAACATTTTGGTGTCTCCCCATCCACACATATTCAGCCAATAGTTCAGCCTATGAGAGTCCTTTTGGGACATCTCTGTCCTCCATCCTTTCCTTACTATTGGCACTGGTAGTGGCTGGAGTGGGTTTCCATCATGTGCTACCTGGACTCTGGTAAGAGCCTCCTCCTGTCCATCTTCCAAGCCCCAGACCATCTCTTTGATACTCTACATCTCTAAGGTTCTGTGGCCTCTCCTTCCTTTGAGTTACATGGCCTAGCTATACTCTCTCAGTTTTTTGAGAAATGGGGATTCTCTGATTCATCTCTGTAGGCCCATAGTGCCTTGAGAGGGCATTGCTATGGCAGGAACTCATGAATATTGGAGTGGGTCACTGTGAAAACCATGCCTTGGTAATACTGTCCATATTTACTGGCAGCCTCTTAATCCAAACTCATCAGAAATTCACTTCTAATGCCTCAACTTAAGAGTGATAGGAACTGTGGGGAATGTATACAGAGGGATATACTCAGGATGGCAGGCAAGGGGACTTAGAACCATGCTAAATAAAGACCCAAGAATGAGAAATCACATAGCAGTCTTAAAGAGCTGACGGTCTGCTATAGGGCAGAATGACTGGATTATTCCTCTCTGGGACCCCATGGGTAGAATGAGAAAGAAAACAAACTAAAGAGCAAACTCTGGCTTACTTGCTAATGTATCACTTGCACTCAACGCCTGTGCCTGCCTGCACAGGTAGAAACTCAATAAATATTTGCTGAATTCATGAATAAAAGAACAAATGGAAACAACAGGTAGAACTAACAGGGAGGTATATCTGTTTCTGCATAAAGAACTTTCTAATAATCCTGATGTGGAAAGTCTTCTAAAGCAAAGCTAGCTGTTATTTATCTCTTGATTCCAGTGTCTTGTACAAAGCCTGGCCTACTGGGAGCCACAGGGGACAAGTTGGCCAGGGATGAGTCATCTTGGAAAATGGTGGTCTGGGCAACTAGTTAGAGGGAGGGTATCAAAAGGGATTCAATACCCAAGGGTCCAAGACTAGTGGACTTTGAGATCCCTTTTGGCTGGATATTTGATGTTTTTGAGCCAACTATGACATGTACTGCTGCCTCCAGGGCACTCCCAAGGCAGGTGCTTTCATTCATCTTAAGAATAGGGTCAAAGTAGCGTCTTCGTTAGCATAGTCTTGAAGCTGGCTGGCTGCCCTTTTCCAGGGCTTATTAAACGACTGGCCACAAACTTCTGATGCGCTGAATGTGTCTGAAGATTAAGGAAATTTAAATTTTGTCCTAGACTCTCCTAAGTAATGGGCAATCAAGGTAGGTGCGTTTCAAAGAAATGCAAGAAGTTTCAAAAGGTGAAACATCAAAGTTCTTGAGTGGGTATCTTTTAAAATAAGGCGAGGAGGGAGTCAGTGGGTGAGAGTGTCTGACGAGGGAAAATGCCCCGAAAGGATGGGGAGGTGCCTGAGAACAGACACCCTAAAGTAGAAATCACTGCCTGCCTTCATTAGACGGCAGACTCCAACTGGGACATAATTTTAGTTCCTGGGAATCACAAATCACCCAGTTTCATTCCCAAGTGTTTTCCCCACTTCCAAAACTGCTCATCGGCTTCACACTGGCACATGGAAAGTCTTAATTGCCAAAGTCAGTTTGATACTTTGTATTTTCATTTTAATTCAGCTCAAAATACTTTCGTTTCTCATTTGATTTCGCCTATGTCCTTTGGGTTATTAAAGTGTGTTATATAGTTTTCAAACACCAAAATCAATTTGGAATTTGGGTTCTTCTTTCATTGCTCTGTCCCACAGAAGGAAACTTCCTTCTTCTTTCTGATACTTTCCTTC